AATTACATCATATCCTATGACATTCATGATGTCATTTTGTGATGGGGAGATAAATATGTAACATTCTTTTGCCTTGGGATGTTACAAGTGGGTTCTCAGTATTTCATCGTTTTCAGCATAATGTTTCAGCAAGGCCAGAAAATTGCCAGGATTTTTGGAAGAATTTGCATCTTCTGGATCGCCACAAAATGCCAAGCCTTGTTTTCCTAAAAACAAAATTGCACAAACAGTCTGGTGAATAATATTTTTTTCTGGGTTATATGTGATTGGAGGGCACTGTTGGTAATAATATCAATTCTACTTGGTGATGGATGTCAAATTGAAGCCTGCATAGAATCGTGATGATAAACAAGCTTAGAATGGTTACTTAAAGTATCAGTAATTTGTACCCAGTTGTTAAGTGATTTATTAACAAGTGCTACTTTATCACGTCGACTATGCACTGGAAGAACGGTAAACAAGGATCACAAAAAACAATGCCATCAATTTTTGGGCTATATAATAACCATGGGTATTTTTCAAGCCAGGCTATTTTAAACTTACGATTACATCCATGAGAAAAGGTGGTAGAAAAACTTTTGGTGGTGCCACATACTTATAAGGATAGGAATACTTTTCAGCATTTGATAAATTACTAATAACTTGGCATTTTTCACCAAGTGATTTTGTTAGTGTCAATACATTGCCAATGTCAGTGCATGGCTCAGTGAGCACAGAAATACCATGACAAATCTCTGATGAATCCATGATTGTTGTAGTGCAATGCGATGATGATGGTCCAGGAAGAACTGAGTTGTCAGTGCTTGAAGCTCAAGTAAACCAGTTTGTATATCATCAATATCATCACCACAAGAACATAGCTCAATAGCGTCACCCTCACAAGCTTTATCTTCATCGCAGGCACCGAAGAAAGATTGAGATGTTGACTGGGATGTGTCATTAGCAGTGTCTGAAAACAATAATATATAGCAATTTTGTCATTTTAAAGAGGCGACCAGTATATAGCTTTAACATAACATTGTAGTTTATACGATACATAAAATCTGTAATAAAGACTGTTGTTGTACTCCTATCTCCTAGTTCTGTACCTTGGTCGTGATGTGCCAATCCTTTTATTTTGGTGGCTAAAAAAAAAAAAATACATTCGTACGTCTCTGCAATCAGTTTCACGTAAGGAAGTTCTAGACTTCTGTCGGGTATAAATACGCGTCGAAAGATTATTATTTAGATCTAGACTGCGTGATTGTGAGTTTAGCGATAAAGAGCATATAGTGGCGATTTTTAAAGTGAAATTATCACATACTGTGTTGCAATTCGTCTCGTCAATTGTGTTTTAATGTAAATGAATCAGGCTGTTTGGACTTTGACGAAAACGAGACAATTACTTAAAGCTCTGGATACATCTGTGATAACCAACAATGTAATGAACATTTGTATATACGTTTGAATTGGTTTAATATAGTGTTTTAAAACAATTGGACCGTGTTGCTGTCCAATTATTTTTGAAATTTATCGCCAACAAGTCACTTGCTGTAAAGAATCCGACATACAAAATCTTACAGTAGCAATACAGCTTCGGGATTCCATTTACAAAGTGTGAACAGAAGCCATTGTATGCGATTATTTCAAGCCAAACAGTTCTAATGTCTCATCAGGAGAATGTAAACTATGAGGAAAACGTTAAATACCATAAGCAGCTGCGTTATATCTGTATAAGGATAATCATTTTTCATGACAAAAATAATGCGTTCGGCAGAATCCGACCCCACCCATGCGTACGAGTGTGAACTTAGATAAAATACTTATAATCACTAAGTAAACTCAAAACAAAACTTTGTAGTCTTATAGAATTGTAAAGGATCTTACATCTTTATCAAATATACATTGTTCCAATGTGTTAGTGTACTTTTATTGAAACTTGAATATACAGTTGATTAGCTCAAGGTGTAGGCTTCGATGCATCTCAAACACAAAATCCGAAAAATCTTACTAGGTTAAATTAACTTTAAACCATAGATTGAACTTCACCTATCTGGTATTAGACGAAAGGCCTCGTCGGCACTGGATATGGTAAATGTATTGTGGTTTATATAATTCTTGTTTGCTTTCACTCATAAGTTCTTAGAATTTGGAATTTCTCGACGAGTTGATCGAACTTTTATCCACAAGCATAAGCAGAAACTCTAGACGATAACGTTTGTGCTAATAAAGTTTCCAACCGCAGGTTTAATGTTTGTTTAAACATTAAGGTCCACGAGGTCAGTGTGGTTGCACAGATTTATTCTCTAAATAAAACGAGACGATTTAAAATGTATTACTGGATGCACTTCCGCAGGGTCCCGAAAGTGTTCTGTTTCAAGAGTAAATAAAACCAAAATTAAGAGTAACAAATATTTTATTTTTTGCTTTTGATGTTCATATGTCATGCTGTGTTCTAGCTTACAGGGGCAATAATGTTTCTCGTGATTCATAGCATGCGCACGTTTTACTGACGTCACAACAGTACAAATTGCAACGTTAAGCGTCCCTTATGTGGCATCATTTTAGTGTATACTAACTGACTGACAGACAACGCACTGTTGTATAGTGGTGCGAGTCGTTAAAGCAGGTGACCCCTCCAGGTGGCCTTCGGCCCTCTTTCAGGGAAATCACTCCTGAAACAGAAAGCTATCAGTAGATTACACAGAAAGTTAGAAAAATATAAGTGCTTACGTATGGTCGTTTAACTCCTGTTAGATACTGTGGTTCTTGCTACCGAGGTTGTTATTTAGTTAACTGTGGCTCCTGTTACTAAGACCTTTTTTGACGTTAATAAGTATTCCTGGTTTCGAGAGTTTTGTGTGTATATTAACCACGGTTTCCTGTTATCGAGATTGTACTTTTGGTATTTTATTAATTACGCTAACCTCTTCTGATATGTAAATTAACTAAAACGCTCGTAGTGCCCCCTACACATAGTTTCTACTGGATGATGAACACCACCAAAATAGTTTAACTATTCTGTGGAAATATTTAAGCATTGTTATTATTATCGTTATGAATTAAAAACTTTTCCATTTCATATTTTTGAAGTCATATTAAAAAGTGATTTGAAATCTATTTAGTTTTTCCCTAAATACATCAATGACATTAAAAATTTTTGAAGTTTTTGTTGTTGTAGTAGTCTTTACTTTTTTTAAATATAAAATTTGTATAAAAATTAATAGTACAATAGTTTTGATTCCAAAAATTATTGAAATAAACTTGTAAGACAAAACACAATTATAAGTTTATTAAACACGTTCTACCATACAATAATGATGTCGGATAGGGGGTCTGTGAAACCTACCGTTCACAACCCCATCAGTATAGAGGTGCCCTGAAAAATATCATATTTGGATTAAATGATGTCTTTCTTCTCTCCCCTTGGTAGAAATAAGCGTCTTCTAGAGGGGGGACTGGTAAATGTGGAACTACTGGATAGCTATACTTCCAAACTCGGCCAAGAGGTGGCGATAGGTATAAAACTCGATCTGAAATAAAGTTTCTAATATATATTTATATAAATAGTTACAAAGAGTTTCATTTATCATTGAGTCATTAATGATGTTACTATGTGTACTACAGAGCATTAGAAAGATGTTCGAGAAATTATGGTATATTACTTATATATGTTCATTTATATCTGCATGTCAGTCACGATATTTGAATAGAATTTAGATTCCACGACAGACAACTTGTCAATGCTAACATTGACTCCGTTGTAAATAGTATTGGTTCTGATATATCAAAATTCACTCACGCTAAAAATATCCCATCCTCAACTCCCTCCACCCCACTGTTTCCCGGCCATTTAAACTGGTATCCCGCTAGATAATAGCGAGAAAGGAGATAAACCGCCCTTCCTAGAGGGCGTGGCATAATTGTCATGAGGTTAACACTAGTCGGCAGTCATCTGGAATAAGACTGAGAGAGAGATTATTTATTTGAAAAAGGCCCAACTCATGGAGATAAGAATCGTTATTTGTAACTTCTTATCTGCAGTCATTGAACGACAGAGAAAAACATGTCCAGCTAAAAATCAGTAAAACATAATGACTAAATTTATTAATGATTTGCACGTTTCATGTCTTGACAACTCTTTGACCTTCCTCTTATGTTTACAGAAAGTTAAGCTACTGTACTAACGACTCGCAACAACAAAATGCGAAAACTAGTCAATATGCAAAATATGTAGAATGAGATAATGCGCTCCCACGTGTTTCGTAGTTGTCCTTTACTAGAACTATTTATTGCAGTACACTGTAAACACATAGATGAAAACAAAAAGTTAATTGTCATAGTCCTTAAGAGCCTTAAAATATTTTCGTGTAATCTTTTTCTTTTTTGGTTTGTTTTCGTAAGTAGATAAGGAGAGTGTTTACATTTTTAATGATATATATTTGATTAACTGTTTTCATGTATATACATGAAATTTCGCTGGCAAAAATACATAGTACGTGAATCAATATAGATAAGAAATAAACATATCATTATGTTATTTATCTGTCTATATATATGTGTGTGTGTGTGTGTGTGTATTATACTGTTTTACATACATACTTAAGTTACACTATACCGCTAAAGTGATCAAACAATTAAGAACTTATTCAACGGACCTTCATTATCCAGTATTCATTGGTTACTCCTAATGGCACAGCGATATGTCTGCGGACTTATAACGCTAGAAACCGGGTTTCGATACCCGTGGTGGGCAGAGCACAGATAGCCAATTGTGTAGCTTTGTCCTTAACTTAATTCAATGGTTACCTAAGTAACGTACACTAACCAACCCCACTAACAAAACTTAGAACTCTGAGGAATCGTTTTTAAAACATGACCAAAATGACTCACTTCTAACACTAAATAAAACACTGATTGATATATTTTCCAGGTTCGTAACATAGAATTACAAATGCTCTTCCAGAGGTGATGCGAGACCTACGACCTCAACACTAATATCCCCGAAGCTCCAAACAGGACGTGCAGTCCTCAGAACTTGAATATCATGCTTTTGGCCAGTTTTTTTTTTTTTTAACCACACTAACAAGCAGTAATACTGCATTGTATCCCGTTCGCCCTATCATAGTGGGAAGTAGCCAGAGTGATTGATGGCCCTATGTTCCGTGATAAAAATAAAATAACACTAATTCAAAGGCAATTCTACTTCAAATCAGCCGAGATAACAATCAGACTGTAGATATGTCATGTCACGCAGCGAGCACAATTATAAAGAATTCAAATGAAATGTCTTGAGAGTAGAACGTTAAAATGTAATAATAACAAACTGGCCACGTGTAATAAACTGTGTTCCAGTATAACTTTCATTTAGGGCTCTCACCTGTATTTAGTGCCCGGCATGGCCAGGTGGATAAGGCGCTCGACTCACAATCTGAGGGTCGCGGGTTCGAATCTGCATTCCACCAAACATGCTCGCCCTTTCAGCCGTGGGGGCGTTATAATGTGACGGTCAATCCCACTATTAGTTGGTAAAAGAGTAGCCCAAGAGTTGGCGGTGGGTGGTGATGACTAGCTGCCTTCCCTCTAGTCTTACACTGCTAAATTAGGGACGGCTAGAGCAGATAGCCCTCGTGTAGCTTTGCGCAAAATTCCAAAAAAACAAAACACCTGTATTTAAAATAACAACCGATACGGTGGGCGAGTTAGCCTTGTTCGCATATCAAGATAGAGAAGACGGTGTGTGCAAAAAGTCCTCCAATCTACATATATCTTTAATCTCAGCGTCATCTGTGAGGATAGACAATAAATCAAGAAACTTATCTCGATATCATACAACACAGATTCCCTCGATTGTTTCAAGCGTTGTTAAGAGCAGTGGAAACTTCAGAGTGCGATTATCCCTCTCATTTTCTTAACTCCCACTTCTCTAGGCCTATTGGAAGGGGTATTGAAATAACAAAAGCTGTGAGATGAGAATCATTTGCCTTTGTGTTTTTGAAACTATTACTTTATTTCAGCAAATGGAGGAATGCTTATGGGAATATTGTTTTAAGTAGTGTTTGTTACGCATAGAATGATAGCAGCGTTCTATCACTGATTAAAATTCCACTAGTAGAATACGAAAATAAACTAATATAAAAATCACGTAACGCTTGAAGCCGATGAAGAAATTGGAATTTTCGTCCTGAAAAGCTAAATGACTAGGTCGGAGAGATCTAGGGGTCAGATGTAACCGTCCCTAAATTTGATGTACTGACCAGATGACTAGAAGAAAAGTAGCTGGTCAGCAGCACCCACCACCATTAGTTCTTTGTCTAATTCTTTGAACCGATTAGCAGGATTGACTTTCATTGAAGGTGTGACGCGAGTTCAGCGGCATCATGTCTCGAACCCTGGACCCTTGGATCCGAAGCTCGATACCCTAACATTATATCATACCTGCACCAAGACGAATGACAGAAATTTGCAAATTTAGTAATGTTGCTTTTGTGATCCGTAAAAGTCAAGATCATCACGCGTTAGTATAAGTAGTTGGGAAGTTAATTACTAGAAACTGTTAACCCTTTAGCTCAGTTGGTCTAGTACTCGCCTGATGTGCGTGATCATGAACCAAGAAACTCGTAGAATTAGATTAACACAGTTATAACAAAGTGTTATACATGTTCTCAATACCGTTATCTGTTCATTCATAAATTTGTTTTCCGTGAAGGTCAGAGGTCAAATGCCGACAAAGCATTACAAAGATAAACATTGTAAGATGCAAATTTTTGATCCATAAAGTGATGAAGACTCATTTTCCTGCTATTTCTGTTAAATCATCATGAATAATTTAATACAACTCTGTGAATGTAATCTTTAAATAGTCTATCACAGTTCTAAGTATACTGTTACAGGTCTGCAAACAATATATTGTTAAGTTTGCACGAGAAAAAGTGTTGAACAGGAAGAAAATCCCGCATTCTGTAGCTGTCGCAGATTTGGAGTATTTGAAGATATTTTCTTGTTTTATTATAAAGTTACTAGCAGCAAGAAAGAGACGTTGTGTCTTTTAACGACTGAAGAACTGGGCGTGGCCTAGTGATTAGTGTCTCGGCCTGAATAAATATGTAGTTAAGGTATCTTATCATTAGCATTACTATTTGACAGAGCTTGATTGGACATAGTTTCTTCTCTGTGTATGTTTGTAATGAAAATATAACGACCGAAATGGTGGCTGTAAAAATCTATTGTATGACATTTATCGCCATTTTATGGCCATTCGATTTATTAGTCTGACAAAAGAAACAAAACATTGAAAATTTCAAAATAAACCTGAAACCAAATTCTGTACCCAAGAGAAGGCACTGTGGTAGCTCAGGCTAACCCAGTGCAACCTTCATTGAGGTGAGGTTGGGATAATATATCTGATGCAGTAAAAATGGAGGATTTATTGAGCCAAACAAACATAGCATGAATTACTAAGATGGGTGTTTCAGTTTTGTTTTTAAAAAGTTTTTACAATGATAACAAATTATAAATATTATTCAATTTCTTTATTGGTATCTATCTATAACCCAAACTCTACTTGAGCTTGAAAAGTTAAAGCGAAATAATTTCAATTGAACGTGGGATGTTTCTCAAGTACTAGTTCTTTTTAAAGGATCACTTAAAACATAAACATTTCTCGTAAAAGCTGTTAGGCTTACATCGTATATTTAATAGCCTTAGTTCCTTTTCAGTTCCAAACACTAGGAGAATAATTATGCCATAAGTGTTTCGTTAACACGTACAGTTTGAGAATAATAATAAATAAATAAACAAATGTATGGAAAGTTGATTGAAATTATTTTTGCGTTATTTTGCTTTTTTCTTTGGAAATTTATTAAATTATATGCTGTTATAGAACAGAACGAAGTTATATAATTATTAATTGGCGGGGGGGGTCGAGGGAGGGAGGATAAGATCATTTGAGAAGAAAGGAATTTGTATTTAGCTATAATCTTACCTACAGAGGGTGCAATGTCTTGTAAAACATACCTTGCGTAGTAGGTGTGGTGATGGTTGCAGGTTTATAAACTGTGCTCTGTTTCTTCAGCGACATGATGGGTGGTTGGATGTGAAGTAAAGAGGGCGTGTAGATCGAAGGATTGGGTGAAGATAAAATGTTAGGATCCTCTGGACAAAGACCACTCCGTTCCATAGCCGCTAACTGACGTCCTTTCGGCAAGAACATTACCAGGAAAATTATAGTGGCATTAAAGACAATTCCAAATCCCATCGAGGCATCGTGGTAACTTGGTTCTGTTGCCAAAGCGAATAGAAGCCAAATAACCCACAGGGGAATTGTGAACCCAATAGCGATTCCAATAAACAAAGCTTCTCGGTGATTCTCGTGGTTTCCTCTGGCTTTAATAGACAGAATCGTGATGGAGAAAATTAAAAACATGGGATAAATAAGAGTCAACAGTATATTGGAAACGCTGCTGTCACAATTGGTGATTGCAGTTCGACTTATAAAATCCGTTGTGGAGCGCTGTACAAGCCATTGTACGTCAATTACAACCTGTACAATTAATATAAAGAAAAGTAAGAACCCTTGGTAGGATGCTGGAAGATAAACACCTGCGTGAAGGCTGAGCAGGAACACAAGTTTCACCAGTAGCGTTGCGAACACTAAAGTGTACGCTAATCCCAACCCAATACGAATCACAGTGCAGGTAATCCAGTGGGCTCTTGGTACGAAAGCAAAGCCTGTGATCGAACAGAAGAACAAACCTAGAAGTAACAACTGCCCAAGGAATAGGTGTCTCCGAATAGATGTCGTTCCGTGCACCTTGTAAAGCACATAAACTTCAAAACAAATTATTACAATGACATTTAAAGACGATAGAACAATAAGGGGAACAATCCATAAGTCATCTCGCAGCCATAAGAAGTCACTTGTTGAAGAGTTTCTCAATTCACACCATTCTTCCAAACACTCACTATTGTTGTCTTTCAGTGTCATTGTAGGATCTTGGATAGCAACGTCTAGTAAACTGAAGTTCGAATCTGAGGACTGGGCAGTCGATGTCAAAATTACGTTTATAGCATTCACAGCAAACAGCAACGCCTTCTTTCGAGAAGCGAGGTGAAGTATTGTCATCTTCTTAGCTCGAACTATGTTCTAAGCAGCCATTCGATAAAGCAACCCTAGAACAAAAAAAAATACTTTCATGTATTGCATACAAGTAAGTAAATGAGAGCTTATGAGAAAATTATCCAAACAAGTAATTGCAAAAACAAGTCGCAATTACAATTGGAGATTGACCAACATGAACAACAGTTTTTCTTTTTCACACTTTCTAAAAATAGTTAATAATACGAAGGGTTAATCGTACTTTATAAGAACGATGTTCTAGATCTCGTGTTACTCTTTGATCTACTTCCTCCATCGTCAACCGTACTCAGTCTGATGACCATGATTACGCATTATTGCTCAACACTACATTTACCACTGCAACAAGCTACTTAGTCAGTCAGTCTTGACAAACTTTCTACAGACCCTTCACTAGAGTCCTAGTCTTGACAAACTTTCTACAGACCCTTCACTAGAGTCCTAGTCTTGACAAACTTTCTACAGACCCTTCACTAGAGTCCTAGTCTTGACAAACTTTCTACAGACCCTTCACTAGAGTCCTAGCCATATAGTAAACGAATTTAATCATAATTAATATCAGTACATTCTTCTGATAGTAACTAAAGGTTAGCCCTGTGGTGGACATCTGGATTTCGGAGTTAGCGAGCCAGCTTGCAATCCGAGCAATACAACTAAGTATTCCCGCACTTTAAGTTGTGGGTGCATTATATGTGCGACAGTCAATCTCTCAGTGATTGGATGCTTCTGACTGGCTGCTATCCCTCTGGTCAGTTGTCAGTAGTTCAAAATTGGTGGCTGCAGCAGATAACCTTGGTAGTTTTGCCATAAATACAAATACAAACAATTTTATTTTGCTGTGCAATTTGACCGAGCATGGTTCAATGGTTAGCTTGCCGGGCTGTGGATCTGCAGGTCCATCATTTACGTACCGTTACTACATAAAAAAAAATCGTGCTATGCGCTTTGAGTCTGTAGGTGCATTATACGATTAACGGTCAAATCCCACTATTCCGTCACACAATAATAACTCAAGAGTTTGTGGTGGAAGTTGTTGACTGGCTACATTTCGTTTAGTCTATCAGTTCAAAATTAAAGAAGGTATGCGCAGACAGCCCTTGAGTAGTTGTGTATGAATATATGAAAACAAACAAATAAACTGTGTACTTTGTAAGGTTTAAGTTTCGAATTATATAAAAAAAACACAAAATCCGACAAGAGATTTCCAATACTTTATCAGTATAATTTTAAAAAGCCCTTATCATCTAGTGGTCAATAAAAATTCACTCATTCATTGTCAGAGTTTTTCATCAATACTCAGACAGTTTGTTTATATCTGAAAAATAGCCTTTTGTATTCGAGATTCATAGTCCGTTATAACAACACACCTTCGTGAATTATCTTGTATACCGTTGATTATGGTATGAGCAATTTGCCAGCAATAACTTTCATGAGGGGAGTCGTGGTAGTGTTGAGTGTTATTTAAATGTTTTTACATCCTCATATGGGTGTGCTGTTATCCCCTTACCATTACTATGCAATGTGATATAAATATAGTTGTACTTGAAGTTGGTGCACGTTGTATTTCTATTTCGCTAGACGAATGCCCTTCTCCGGAAAGGGTTATAACATTATTTTAGCTGTGAGTCTACCCTTGGCTACATTGCACTGTCAAAGGTCGAAACTTCATCGTGAATTTAATACATAAGAGCTACAAATATCGCCCATGGCGACACGCTACTGTATAAGTATAAACAATTTGTTTCTATAACCCTCCATATTAGAAGTAAAACGTCTGTATAATCTGATTTACTAAAGACAGAATACGTCTGGTGAATGTTTTTTTCATTTTAGAGAGTGGAGATGTTTACAAATATTTTCTAAATTGCTTTCTAACGGAAAGATTTCAACTCAAAAAGAAACATCATAATAAAGTTTGTAGTTTTTATTAACAGCATTCTGACGTACGTCATTCTTATCGACGTGTTTTCCGTATATACATATATCACTCACTCAACCTCAAGAGAGTGAAGGGGTACAGTTCTAACAGTGTATGCTTTGCTAATGCTCTATTTATGCATAAGTAAAATACTTTTTTGTGCATAGTTAAAAGCGTGCATTCAAACAGGTGAGAATTGATGCTAAGCCTTGTGCTAATGTTTTGCGAGGAATATTAATAAAAACATTAAGAGTCATAATTAACTAAAGTTAGCCATTTAAATAGTCATAGTTGATAGTCATTCCTGGAGAGAAGGCGACATGACTTATAGTAAACATGATCACTAAAGTCCCAAAAATAACCTGCATGTTCGATCGCTTTCGAAAAGTGGATTATTTATTATTCATCAGAAAATCCTGATGAAGAATAATCCACTTATCGAAGATGCTCGACAGTGTAGGTCTGTTTTTTCTTCCATACTTTGATACGTGATGGAACATTCGAAATGAAACTTTGGATAATTGAATCTATATATCTTTCTATCACAACAAAATCTTATTCTCTTTAAAAGAGTCCATCATTTTTTTAGTTGAATCTAATTAGCTAAGATTTGTTTGTTTGTAGTTAAGCACACAGCTACAGAATGGACTATCTTTGCCGTGCCCACCACGAATCTTTTGTGTGCATGTTGAATTTAATTCTCTAAAAATGAGTAATTTTTTGTGTTGAATCTAATTCTCTATGGCCTTCATTAATCACGAATTTGTGTCGAAACTAATTCTCGAAGTTCTCAATGGTTCGTTTTGTTGTTGTTGTTGTTGAATCTAACTTTCTAATGCCTTAAATAATTTTTGTTTTCGTGTTGAAGATAATTATTTAAAACCAAAATAAATAGTGGTTGAACTATTTCAACCAGCTGAGTCTACAAAGTGGTTGATGGCCTACAGCAAGGTTGTGGTGATCCGATATCAATTCTTGTTATGGTCGGTAGCCTATACGGTCATCTAATTAATTCTCTTTATTTGGTATATAGTTTGCTTATTGTTAAGCACAAAGCTACACAATAGACTTTCTATATCAAAACCTGACTTGCAGTATTATTAACCTTCAGGCTTACCGCTGAGTCACTGAGGATTAATCAGTAATTGCTTAAACATATATAATTATAATGTGTAAATGAATTTCCAATGCTATAACTTAGATATTTGCTAGAAAACTGCTAACAAAGATGATGTATTGATCGAAGGACTCTGAAAAATATCGAGGCATAAGAATACAGATATAAATACGAGTAGACGATTAGTTCAGAAATAGTAAAGGCGTTAATGAGTAATGAGTGTGAATTTTGTTTATTGAGAAGTGATTGAGTAGTTAATGAATTAGTTAAATGTCAGAAAATCATATCAGTGTTAGTTATCGCGTATGTTCAGTTACTTAAACGATTAATCGTAGAATTATGCGTTAGTCATAATACCATTAGCGAGGTATTTCCGTTGAAACGTTATTTGTAAACTTAGGTCTACAGCAATAGACTGTGTTGAAAAGGTATAGAGGAAATAAACTAATTCGTTCTCATTATATTTAAATGATTTAAGAGAACCCGCCCAACGATAGAACACGATACAACAATATATACGTACACATTGTGAGTTAAATACTGCAGTATTTTTACCCAAATGATTTATACTTTAGTTTCAGAAGAGAAACTTAGAGGAATAAGACTCGAAGAATTATTATTATTTTTAAGAATGTCACTATCCAGATAGAATAATCGAAAGGGTACTAAACATAGCAAAAGATAAATCTGATATTAAAGAAAAAGAAAGAAGAAAACATTATCGTCATTTTTCTACACACAGATGGTCAACGTGTTAGTTTTGATTATGCATTCGAAACAACTGAAAGAGGTGATGGGTGAAAACCTAAAGGAAGCATTCAAGAGTTAAAAAAATATATATCAAGGAAACTACCGAAAAATCTATAAAGATGATAAACTACAAAAAATTATAAATTAAATAAAACTTTTTATCTTCCCATGTAATAAAGTATAATGTCAATTATGTCATACAGGATATGTAGAAAATAATACTGATATTCTAGATGTCACTAGAGACATTTTGTTTTAAGTAAATTCCACTTTTGATTACGATTCAAGGTATATTTTTATGTCTTAGTTTGTGCAATACGTAGAGAGCTATAGATGGAAAAACAGAGGTGTCAATTATTTGAATAATTTCAGTAGTCCATTTAATAAAAAATCAAATATTTAAAGGAACCCTTTGTTTAAGTTTCTTTTTGGTCATGCAATAACAAAATAATAAGGTAGGAATATGAAAAAAATATGTTATTAAAAATTCAGAACCTCCTTGAATAACAGTTATTGATAAATTACAGAGGGATCTTAATAAAGTAGTATTTTCCGCCATTTTTTCGAAGAAATACCATAAATGTACAATACAATTACTTAGAACATAAAAAGAAGTAAAGTAAGTGATTTATTTAATTGTTTTGTTTGTTTGTTTGTACTTATACACAAAGCTACACAATGGGCTATCTCTGCTCTGCCCACCATGGGTATCGAAACTCGGTTTTTAGCGTTGTAAGTCCGCAGACATGCTGCTGTGCCACTGGGGGGGGGGCATTTATTTAATTATGTAAAATTTTGGTTTATTGTAAATTTGTAGTCTAATTTAATTCTGAATTAGAATTCTACAGGTTTTGTATTTATTACGTAAATAATACATTTTCAAGGTAATTTACACAACGTTTTTGTGATTTTAATATATTTTGATATATTTTACAAATTGGATAACGGCTTACAACTTTTTGAACATTTTATATTTCTATATGATTAATTTACATTATTATTTTTTTCGTATTCTTAATTTTATTTTTAAATGTTTTCAGGTTGAAGAGTAGCCAAGCCTACGAAACCGATTCTCTAATGAGTTTCATGATGTCAGAAAAACACGTAGGTTCATGAACATAAAACGATAAAATGACATAGCCCTAGCACTTTCGAAAGATAGACCTTTCTTCTTCAGAGGTAAACTAGGAAACTCTAAAGAGTTTATAATTGTAACAATTTTACAAGTTGAAAGGGAGAGTAAAACATTT